CACCCTCAACTTTTACTTCTACTTTCCCCAAATCACATTTCTCCTTATCTATACACAATTTTAACGTCTGTATTTTCCCATTTCTCAAATTATCATGACTGCAGTTTCTCTTGGCAATAAATAAATTTATCCAGATATAATTTTCTTTCAAAGACAGACCCAAGAACAAATACAAAGTATTCAAGCCTGAATGATGGCAAAAATTAAAAAAGAAAACACCTGTGAAAGTCATGAAATTCTGTTAAATATCATCTTGGCTAGCTGGTATTCAAAATACATCAATTGAGAAGCACATATAATGACGTGATGTCATTATATGTAGAGCATCTACCTCGTTTTCTTTGTCCTGAATCTAAAAGTGCAAAAATCAAAAGAAATACTGACCTCTCAGATTTTAGATTTGAGTTTTAAACTGTTAAGCTGGGTATCAGTTCTGCCTGGAAGCTTGCCAGTTTAACTCTTCTAGAATTGAGCATAACCTGGAGGATTTTCCTGATTTAGAATCTTCTTAACTGACCTACACAGATATTCAGACTGGTGTATCTGCTGCGTAAAAGATGTTTAACATGCAAAGATATTAATATTTTAGATGTTAAGATGCTTAAATGTTTGATCTTCCCATTAGCAGTCAACTAATAGATACTAGACTATATTCAAATGTAAGGCTTTAGAAACAGAAGGAATAACCACCGTACACTGAATCTATTAGTGAGCTAAAATCATTAGCAACAAGAGATTTTGAGGGACTTTTGTATTAAAGCAAAACTCACCTCTGAATACAACCAACAGTGCCACCTGCTGCAGAATGCAGCATCAGCTCATCTTGAAAAATGAGAGAGACCAGGTTCTTAAAGAATCTATCTCTGGAGGCCTTACATGCATGATCTAAATAACAAAAATGCCCACCAAAACCCACACCCACTACCAAAATCCCCACTGTTAGAAAATAGGAGAAGTTCTGATATGATCCATACTCAAGCAAGCAAGATCAGGAAGAAGCTTAGAAAACAAACCCTTAGCTAGGATAACATTGATTTGTGCTTAGGGGTTAGCTGGATTGACAGGTCACAAAGAGAACACTTTCCTACAGCCATGGATCACCAATGCCTGTGCTGACAAACACATTCACAAATAGCTTGCTAGGGCTTCCTATTACCCAGTATGTATCACATTGGTCCTCAACTGATCCTGCTGGAAGGCTATTACAATAAAGACACCCATAGCAAACAGCTCACCAGTTCAGTTTCAGTTATCTCTTCATGTCTTTTCGGGAAAAGTGGAAAATATTATTTTAGGTGAACATTTTCTTTAAGATATTAATCCGTATGCTCTGTCTCTGTTTCCATCATCTCTGGACATGTTCTCAGGTCCTTGGGACTCCATAGGGAAACCGCAGGATCTTTAGGGCAACTTCTGCATACCTTTTTCAGACTCATGGGCCTATTCCCATAATTTCATAATAACCCTTCAGCAGAGTCAGGAGCTCAACCCAGGCCCTGGGCAGGAGAGCTGCCAGGTTATCCCATGCAGCAGGTAGACTGGAGAAAACTGAGAATGAGAGGGAAAAAGAGAGGGAGGGAATGAGGAGAAAGGGATGGAGGGGGTCAAAGCAGGTGGAGAAAAAGGAAAAGGTTACCTTAGAAGTCTAGGAAGGTGGACCAAAGAAAGAAAATGTGGAGCCACTGTGTTCATGCCCACAAAGACAGGGCCCAAGGGACTGCTGGAAGATGCAGATACAAAAATTACTCTTGCTGGAACTGATACTGAACTCCTACCTTCATCTGGAGAGGCTGTCTAGGCAGGTGAGACGTAAGAAGCCTTGGGCTGCCAATGTGTTAACACTGTGTTGTTGTGTAGTTGTTAACTACTTCCTTTCTCTGTATTGCTTGAAAGCATTATCTGTGGTATGGATTGTTGGTGACTTCAAATACTGGGCTTTCCTACTGATAAGAAACAATTAGTACATGTCTGTTTTCCTTAAGGCTCTTACTTTGAGCCCTCTCTTTGGGTAATGTTCTCAAACGATTGATGCCTGGCTCTTTCCTCTTCAGAGTTGTGTTTGCAAAGGTGGAATTTGCTAGAAGGCTTCTCTTTCTTTAGAACAAGGAGATAGGAGGCTTCTTTTGGGAGATGAATTTGTAGAAAATCACAGTTCATCTAACAATATATAAAGACACTTCTGCTGCCCTGGACTATTATTTACAGTAACATCACATGCTCAACTTCTTTCTTGTGAAGTGAGAGTTTCTGCATCATCTGATAAGTGCATGTTTGTAAAAGCAAATGCCATTTATATGCAAAGAGTCTCAGCTCTTTTAAATGAAAATAATTATCAGACACAAGGCTAGCTGAAGTTCTGACAGGCTTAGGCAGAAATGGAAAACTGGAGCATTTAGGTTGAGATCACTTGTTAGAACTCGTGAGTGGCCAGACTGGAGATTGATGCATCCCTCACTCACAGTTTTTTCATACTACACTACAGACTGGTCAGTTACAAGAACATGACTCAAAGTTATCATTAACCATACTGCAACAAAACTTTTTTTTCCATGCTTGTCCAGTCCTGACACAATGAGGTCAGTGGAAAAGGTTCATCTTTTCTGTGCAAGTAGTCTATGCTTGCCTTTAGGGATAAAGGCAACTTACCAACAAGATTGCATGAATTTGACAGCAGCTGTTGTCTTGTTGCCACAGAGCAGATGTAAGCATTTTTCCTATATAGCATGTTGCTTAAGGTCTTGTCTGGGCTTGTTATGGATAGGGTCTATAGAGAAAACAAATGGAAATCACAAGCAATCATATCACAGGCTTGTCCTTATACTTACTCAATGGAAGCTGTTAGCCTGAAGAGCTATTACTGAAATACAAGTTCATCAGCGTGTTCTGTGCAGAAATGCCTGCTGAAAACAGTAAAGTTAAGCCACAAACCATATGCTTTGATGTGCTTGTTCCCTCACCTCTACTCCCTGAGTTTAAGGCAACAGTACAGAAAAACACTGCTTTGTCAGCTATTCTAGAAAATACCAGCCAAGTTCCAGACATGTATCGGTGACATTAAACACAAATGTCATAGGATACCTTTGAGACTTAATTACTGCCTGTTTAATTAGTGCATTTAGGGCTTCTCTGGAAGTAGCAACTCTTTGCATTATGGGTACAGTATACAGTATTGGTATAAGCAGTATGAGCCTTTATGACTGCCCATTTTTGCTTTTCCTCATACAGTAGAAATAGCCAGTCAGACTACCAGCCTATGTATACTGTTGAAGTTCCCTGTCATATGTTCTACAAACTACTGGGACCTCAAGGTGTCAAAACAGTTCTTCCACATTATTTTCATATGTAAAGGACAAGGTGCACAGAGTTGGCATACTCAGATTTTCCCCTACTTGGAGGTACCAGCGAGACTGTGTGTCAGCTTTCATCATAATCCCTTCCCCACCCCCCTAATCATGTACAACTTAGGTATGTATGTTATGTACAGAATTCATGTCCTCATGCCTGCCCTCCTGTCTTTTCCAACTGTTGACATGTTATCTCAATGTATATGTGAAAAACAAGAATGTTGGAAAACAACCCCTGGGGAAAACACTGATGATTGTTCTCCAACCTCGGGCTACTCCACCAGGAACAGTTAGCTCTTTGTCAGAGACATCAGCTGGACACATACAAACTGACTAGGGATTTGTTCTGGGCCTCTCTGTTCCTGAAACAAAATGAGAATCCACAGTGGGCTTGTGTTTACAGATTAATTGCCCCCCTTTCACAGCAATACTTCTCTGTGCTCATGATAGGGGTAGATTTGTTGAGAATTGCCAAACTGTTGTGGCTGGGTACAGTATTTTACTTGACCTTCTCTATGCTGAAGAAAATAATTACTAGCACACACATGACAGGAGCATTAAGGTGAAATGTTAACAGCTAACATTACACAAGCATGTGCCTTTGCACACTTGTTAGTTCCTGAGCAAAGACCATGAAGTAGCAGCTTCTGTGGAATGCCCTGCTGATTCTCCTGATTGACCCAAGCAGAAGGCAGGTAAAATTGAGAGAAAGTTTACTCTATAAAGTAAGAGTACAAAGCATGCAGAGAACTGGTTCTGCATTTCAGGCCTTAACATGTTCTAATAGGCTCCATTAGTAAACCACTCTTTACACCACCCCACTTCAGTGGTGGCATTAGAGAGATGTGTGGTTTTAAAGATAAATTTGCAATTGTTACTTGGCATGGTTTGGGTCTTTTTTTATCTCCCCTTTCAGAATAGGAGTGTATCACACAGCATCCTGATGAAGTTCTCTGCAAGCAAAATGTGTTTCCTGTTAAAAGTCATTCCCAGCTATTGATTTCAGATGTTCTAGAGAGCTTAGCTGAATTTTGCTTCAAGGGATTTCTACAAACCATGACAAACATGGGAGGTGTTCTCAGACCTCAAACGGCAAAATTTAATCTGCCCTTTTGTGCTGATACCTAGATATGTCTGAAGCTGCAGCTGATTAAATGAAGAGTCCAGCTTCACTCTGTGTATTATAAGCAGGACAGACTTTCACAATAGCTTTGTATAATCCCTTTGTGCAGATATTCAAGGGCTAGGGGGGCTGATTAGTCTCAAATACCACTCAAAACAGACAACCATTATATAACACTGTCTGTCTTTCATAACATGCCAGCAGAAATCTCATGATGGTCTCAGCTTAGTTTGCAGCCAGATTTCTACCTACCATTTTACCCCAGGGGTAAAAAAGAAAAGCTGTCATCCTGTACCATCACCCTCATGTAACCCATGTTTGGGGGGAGCATTATTTATGTGAAATTCTTTCTCCTGCAAGCACAAACCCTGCCTCTGACCCTGACATAAGTAGGCGCAAAGCCATGGAAACCAGGGGGTTACACAAGGGTGCAAAACTGTTTATGGGGCCAGATCACACACTGGACCTAATGTTGCCTCGTGGGCAGTAGGTGGGGCTTTTGGCATTTGCGGGGGAGCTCTCCAATGAAACCCAGAGGAGGAAAAGGCTACAACCATCTGGTTTTCGTAACAGCATCTCCATCCAGTAGGGCTGAGGCATGGGTGGAGTTTGATGAAACTAAACTATACAATGACAAGCAGCATCTTCTATAGCCTCAGAAGGACAGACTGCAATAGCTAGAAGGATAAGAACAGCCTAAAATGTAAGTATGTCTACTTTCTCCACTTTCTTAATGTAATTAGCGGCTTGTGGGATGGCATGTTCTGGCCACACTTACTTGTGGCATCAATGTAACCTATGAAAATGCCTACTATACTTCCTGTCCCTTTGGCCCATGTGTTAACAGCTGCAGAAAAAGCCTTTAAAAAAAAAAAAAAAGAAAAAGCCTACAGTAGTATTTATACTAACAGATGGAAATCTCAAAGCTAAGCTTTCCTGTAGATCTAAAAATTAACTGTAAATATTTGGAAGATACTTCTCAGTTTGTCTCTCCACACCCACCCCCCCCAAAGCATTGTTTCATGTAATTCAAAAGAAATTCTTACATGTAGTCACCAACAGCACTGGCCACAAAGTTATGTAAGATAGAGCTGCGAGACAACCAACAGTTAAGAAAAAGTATGTGGGAGAGGGGCTGGAATTGGCAAGTACAGAGACAAGGCAGCTTGTACAGCAGCTACTACAACAGCATGTGTTGAAACAGAGAAATGTTTATTTTTCTGCTTTCTAACATACCCAGGGAGCACATGAAGAGGAGTAATGTGTTCTCTATCAAGTTCTAGCAAGGAGAAATAGAAAGGGAAATGCCAGCAAAACAGTACCTTCTTTGCTTGTGAAATGGCAATGGATAAAAAATTACTATAGGAAACTTTAGTATAATTACTCATATGTGCTTCTAATAAAATGATAGGATTCTTGCTTTATTTACTTCTAAATACTATTGACAAAAAGTGTGTTAGAGTACAACTGTCCAGCTTGGTTGGGACTGTGCAGCAGTCCCTGGTGACCAGTCATCCTGGTAAAGACTGCTGAAGATGTATCTTCAGGCTGGGACAAGGAGGGGGACACCACCTGCTTTTAACTGCTGTTATTATTCTCCTGCTATGTGGTTTTCCAATCTTCCTTTGCTTTACAGTGACAACTGAAAAAGCTCAACACTGAGTGCTCTGTGCACTACTTATTTTAAGAACTGTAAGTGAACTCAGTGCTTGCAGGGTTGGTTGTTGGGTTTTTTTTTGGTGTTTTGTGGTTTGCTTTGTTTCTTATAAAAGCTTTGCAACTTCATAGATCCCAAAGAGAAAACTTATTGTAGCTACCTCTAAACGAGGGTGCAGGTGGGGATTAACAGTATTCATCAGTAGTCTACATTTCCTAAGAAAATGTAAACAGGTAAGAAAGTAAGTAGTCAGGTAGCAACAAGGCAGTTCTTGATTTTACAAAAGGAGCCATGGTCTTATATTCACAAACCATCATTTTAAAGATGGCATACCTTAAAGACATTAAAAATGCTTATTATAGATTATGAATGGTCCATTGTTCATATTTATAATACCACTGCAACACATAACATTGCTATGCACCTTAAGAACCAACCTTGTCTTTGTTGGCAGTCCTAGGTAACATTATTTCCTCTCACTGCTCAGAGATGTGTTGTACCTTTAACACCACAGAGGGGACATGCTGTGAACTGCATCAGTGCACCTGTAATACTAAAAGCCCATGAAAAAAGGTAGAGCTGTGAGTGACAGGGCAGCAGCTTCTTGTTATATGGGCATCTATAAGCAGTTGAGGAGGCAGAGAAATAAAAAATAATCTCAAAGTTCATTCTATTATTCAAGAAACATACAATTAAGTTTATACTCTGATAACACAATGTATTACAATCTAAGAATCAAGATACCCACTCAATGAACTACACGCTGTCTTTGCAACATGAAGCGCAAAGGACATTGTAAGGTAATAAAAAGCAGACTTCCATGTAGGTTGTGCACTACGATCTACCTGGTAACAGCAAAAACCATGAATGGAAGGCTCCTAAAATCTCAAGACCTATAACCAGGTGTGGTTATTTCAATAGCAATTTTGATGGTTTTCACTTGCTTTGTTTTGGAAGTGAGAAGTTCAGTGTTGTCATGTTTCAGGTTTTTCCTTCCATGCGAAGGCTACCTAAGAAAGTAGTTATATATTCATAAATCCAGAAAATCTCATCTATTAATAGGACTCATGGGCTAAAGGCCTTAAGAAAAGCATCAGACATTATGAGAGGTCCAATAAATTTATGTGCACAGTCAATACCAGAATACCCATCAAACCAATACCTTTTCCCCCAGAAGCAAAGTGGCTGAACTCTTCAAATCCTTCATACTTAGGGATTTCCACAAAATTGCCACTCGCAGACTCTCAACCCTCTGTTTTGCAGCCAGGAAAAGCCTCCACTTCATAGAGAAGCAAAAGCAGCATACCCTGAAAGATGAACACACTCCCACATAAGTGTAGTTTATTGGTCCTGGTTCCTTCAGGGCTAGAAGGATTCCAGCCCTTCTTATGGAATCATTGGAGATAAATGGAATTTAAACCTTTCATTATTCCAGAGAAAAATCAAAACATTAGGCAAAAAGTCCTAGTGCTTTCTTCTATTTATACTGTATTGATTGAAGAGAGGCCAATGAACTGCATGTGTCTTTCAGCTCTGGCAGGATGATCAAATCCTTCAAGCAAACCTTCCTGTCCCTGGATCTACAGTCCCCTCGGTGGAGCTCAACAGAGACAATGGTAACCACTAAAGCCCAGGAGAACAGAGCCCTCTGGTCAGAGTACTGCAAGGCTAAGGTGGATTTGGAATGATGTCTGATGAGCATAGGGGAGCTGGGAAAGTTAGACACTATTCACACCTAATTGCAAATAGGGAGAGGTACACCAACTTAAAAGCTCTGAGGAGCTCAGCCTAAGGCAAAGAATGGTTTTGCAATGGAAGCATCTAGCAGTTTGACACTGGGGGTACGCCTAGAGTCTGCAACAAAGAGGTTTGCTCAGTGTTCTCTCATTAAATAGTATTTCCATGCCGATTTAGAAAAAGCAGCTATTATGTCATCTTCAATACTCATCTCATGGTTATTGTGACTTTTACTACCTTTCAGGCAAAGGATTATGAACTGCGTCAGTATGAGACAGCAAAGTGGGTCAGCACAGTCATTAGGGGAGAAACCCAGAAGGAGGCAATGCGTCAGGGCTTCTGGAAACTCTTCCACTACATCCAAGGGAAGAATGAGAAAGGTACAACCTCCTGGTTTTGAAATGTGAGAAACATAAAGAGGAGATGAACCTGCATAGCATAGAACAGTAGATGAGCTGTGGGACACAGCAAGTTCCCTTTTCTGGTCTAACTCATGACTCCACTAGGCCATTATACCTGTGAAGCTGCTCTAGTATCTGCTTTTAGGATAAGTCTGCATCACCCTTTAAAACTGTAGCATTCAGGTACTGTCTTTGCTTGCAACTTAAAACAACTTTTCATCCTCTCCACTAGAAATGAAGATTGATATGACTGTGCCTGTGACATGCCTGATAAAATCTGGCTGTGCAGACTTCAAGGTCTCTTTCTTTGTTCCATTTGAACATCAGGACTCTCCACCACAGCCCACTGACTCCGATGTGTTTATTGAAGAGAGGAAGGCAGCAGCCATCTTTGTCCGGTAAGCAGCACCAGCACAGCTTGTAAATGAAGGCAGCTACGGAAAGGGGTACATCTATTAAGAACCTGGACTACTCTTTAAGAGTTTATTTCTAATCATGCATATATTC